CATAGGATGTAGTTTTGCTCACTTTATTATAAAATCCTGAATTGTATACTTTCCATGCTTGTCAATCGATCAATCCTACTTTTAGTGTGATTCTCTGCCTCATTTAAAGATAACTCTGAGTTGGCTAAAGTAATTTGTGGAAAGCAAATATGTATAGGAAATAGTCAGTTTAGTTTCTGATGTTTTTATTTTTTTTAGCTTTTTCTTCTACTGATATTTTTCTTTTTTAGAACAAAACCCCACGTATTGACAATATCGACAGTGCTGCAGAATAAAATTGCATCTTTTTTTAATTTACATCTAGCTAAACACTTAGAGAAGAAGCTATAAAAGACCAAGTGGCTTCAGTTATAGAACACTCCAATCTCGAATACGGTTTATTTGTTTTGGTGAAGCATGTATATTACTGAAATGCAAATGATAAAGAAGTAAAGTATGCTAACACAAATATGGTTCATTTGTTTGATTGGTTTCGCTTGCTCTGTGTTGCATGAACCCAACTATTAAAAGTTATAACCCATGTGGTTGACTTTAACATGTTGTGTGTACTCTACTCAACAAATTGTAGCTTAACAAACCAAGTCTAAACAAGATAAGTGAATATAATTGTTAAAACTTCCTTCTGAACAAATCTGTTTAAGATTGCATGGTTAATGATGCACACTTTGTAGTAAAAGCACAGAAAGCATTCTCACTTTCACATTAATACAAGTATCTTAAGAATTTTTCATATGTTTTAAGGTCCACAGACATTGCAGATAGTCCTTGGTTTACCAACCATAATTTAGTGACCATATGAAATGATGACGGTGCTTCAAATAAGATCTTGTGGCTGTTACAGTGATTATGATTTAGATCAGGGGTGTCAAACTCATGATGACACATCACATGATGTAGAGAGATTGAGATTGAGATTTAGTTTATTTGTATGCCGCCCTTCTCCGGGAGGGACTCAGGACGGTGAACAACTTAAAGGGGGGAAAGGGGAACATAGAACATAATACACGTGATTAAAATAAACAAGAATCATACAGCCACACAGGTCGAGAGGGTAGGGGAACTCATCATGTATCACAACCTCCCACTTTGTTAAATGGGGAGTGGGCGTGGCCAGCACGGACCGCATCTGGTCCGTGGGCCGCGAACTCAACACCCCTGATTTAGATGCTTGGCAACCAATATGCATGTAGAATCTTGTGGTCATGTGCTCGCCATTTGAAACATTCAGAGCCATTTTCCAACAAGCAAATTCGATGGGGAAGCTAGCAGAAAGTTGCAAGTCACGTGATACCATATTTAATGGCTATGCTATTTAATAATAGGGTTGCCGGCCTCTCTTGTGGATGGTAAGTGAGGATTACCTGTGATCAGATTTAAAGACTTCATTGCCAGCCCAGAAATATAAGATAATATATTGCTGGACTACAGTAGTTTGCCACAGTCAGAAAACTGCTTTCAGCTTCAAAGAATGCTCATCTTCCACTTCTGTTCCTAAAATTACTTTCTAAGCCAACATCATGAAAACCCCTTTGATCATGAAAATGCTTCCAAAACACTGACTTTGTTTAACTACTTCACTAAAACGCAGACAAAATTTATAGGGAGCTTCATCAAAAAGAGCCCAGGAAACATTGCAACTCAACCCTTTGCATGCTTCTGCCCTCTCGCTACAGCTGCAGAAAAAAAAATGCTTGAGAAAATACTGTTTCTTTTTTATGCTTTGGGGCTAAAACTACTTGTTAAATTCTGCCCTTTCAAAACATTAATGTTCCTTTTAATGCATGTTTATTATTAACTGTGGAATTTGTTTTTGAGTGTTGCCAAAAGATATCATGGAAGGGGAAAACGTTATTTTGGTGGGGAGAAGAATTATTATGTTTTTAATGCAATTCTGTATATTAATTTAAGGTAGCTTATTCTGAGAATCAGGTTTTTGGCCCTGATCATGCTCCGTTCCAGAGTATAAAACTTTTCCATTACAAAAAAAAAAGTAGTGGTACAATATGGGATGATTATTTTCACTCTCTTAAGTTTTAGTTTATGAGTCTGAAATATTATAAGCTGAACTAATACAGAATTGCATTATTTTGTTTGCCCAGAAAAGAATGAGATTCTGTTATTCTTTTTCCCCTCCTCTCTAATGATAGCTTGAAAAAGTCTGATGGCAAAATTTCAAACGGAATATGCATTGCATTTTTAAGGAAACAGTATCCATTGTGACAAGATTTGTGCTCATTAGGAATTTTGCTTTTCTCTCTTACTTTCATGATGCACAAGTGAACAACAGGAGCAAGCAAACTCTCTTCATACATGAGAGGGAAGGAGAATAGGCAACTGCCTTTTCTTCGTTGCTAGTTCACATAACATTGGACCATGATTTGCTATTCGGCCTAAACAAGATTTAGGTCAGAACTTACTCTTTTTGTCCCTGGATCTTGAATTACATTATTTTAAATAACTGAAATTGAAATGAAACTGAAATGCTACCGATCTGTGGTGGCGAAGTGGTTAGAATGCAATATTACAGACTAATTCAGCCCACTGCCGGCAGTTCGATTGTGACAGCTCAGGGTTGACTCAGCCTTCCATCCTTCCAAGGTGGATAAAACCAGATGGTTGGGGGCAATATGCTGACTCTGTAAACTGCTTAGAAAGGGCTGTAAAGCATTATGGAATGGTATATAAGTCCAAATGCTATTGCTGTTGTGTTTCTTCTCTAGCATTTCAGTTTAATTTCAATTTTGGAACATCGTGGCTTGAAAGGTTAAAATCACCCAATGCTACAACTTCAGCAAATTAATTATTGCAACCTTTTAAACTACTTTGGGTTGCAGGCCCCCTTGTTCTTGGAGTGCCTTATTATCATTACTGCTAACATGATTTTGATTTTTATCCCACTTTATCTCTAGGAGCTCAAGCAGGGGGTAAAATGCTACCGGTTCGGACTGGTTCGCCCGAACTGATAGTAAAAGTGCTACTGGTTAGCCCGAACTGGTAGTTTAAAGAAATGAAACCAGTTCGGGTGAACCAGTTTTTCTGACAATCAGCTGTGATGCGTGATTTATATCAGGATTTCCTGCTTTCTAGCTAATCTAAATCACGTGGCACAGCGGATTCTCCCCCCTCGCTGTTCGCTTACCTTTGCAGGCGCGCTCGGTAGCAGGCTCCGCCCACCCACCCAGACATCATCACACCATTTTTCATGCTCTGCGCATGCGCGGGAGATACTGTGCATGCACGGAGGTGGGCACGCACACGCACACTGTTACTGAACCGGTAGCAAAGGTAAGTGGATTTCACCCCTGAGCTCAAGGTGAAATTTCATGGACATCTTAGCATCAATTGATGCTGGACCTTCCCAATTCCAGACAAACATCTTAAATCTTGGCTTTTTAATAATGGCAAACTTATAAATTGTTGAATAAGCCATAATAGCCTAGTTCAGGAAAAATACTAAAGCATAAATCATAGTTTACAAACAACAATGGTTAAGTTCATATATCACACAAGCCAACGCCAAACAAATAAAAAAGCCCCCAATCTATAAACTGCTGTAATCCAATGTATTAAAAATGCAACAATTTTAATTATCAATTGTCTCACAATTGATAAAACATTCTACTTAAATTCCGAAATTTATGAACCTCGGTTGCATAGTGGTTAAAGTGCAGTACTGCAAGCTACTTCTGCTGACTGCCGACTATCTGTAATTTGGCAGTTCAAATCTCACCAGGCTCAAGGTTGACTCAGCCTTCCATCCTTCCAAGGTCAGTAAAATGAGGACCCAGATTGTTGGGGGGCAATAAGCTGACTCTGAAAAACCGTTTAGAATGGGCTGTAAAGCACTATGAAGCACTATATAAGTCTAAGTGCTATTGCTATTGCTAAATGAATGGCTGTGTTAATCTACAGCAGAAACTGTCAAGGGTTTTATGGCATCTTAGTAGTCATTAAGTTTGTTGTCTTGAGCTTTTGTGCACTTGTAGTCTCTAAGATGCCCAAAGGTTCTTTTTATGTTTGCTAAATTTATAAGTGATGTCAATTGGGCCACAAATGGATACTATAGTTGGATAGAAAAGGACACTGTTTCTTTAAAAGAAAAAAAAAAATTCTGAATATTTCAATTGCATTTGAACTGGGATTTTGAAATAAACTGTTTTACCACAATGTATTGTGTGGTGAGATTAGGAAGCCTATTTCACTACCTTTGGAGTTAAATAGGTCAAAAAGGAGCCGCATGACACAATG